AGACGTAACACGAAGTGACATAGTGATATAGACGTAACACGAAGTGACATAGTGACATAGACGTAACACGAAGTGACATGGTGACATAGTCGTACCACGAAGTGACATAGTGATATAGACGTTACACGAAGTGACATAGTGATATAGACGTAACACGAAGCGACATAGTGATTTAGACGTAACACGAAGTGACATAGTGATATAAACGTAACATGAATTGACATAGTGATATAGACATTACACGAAGTGACATAGTAATATAGACGTAACACGAAGTGACATAGTGATTTAGACGTAACACGAAGTGACGTAGTAATATATACATAACACGAAGTGACATAGTGTCATAGACGTAACACGAAGTGATATAGTGTCTTAGACGTAACACGAAGTGACAAAGTGATATAGACGTAACACGAAGTGATATAATGACATGGATGTAACACGAAGTGACATAGTCATATAGACGTAACACGAAGTGATATAGTGACAAAGACGTAACACGAAGTGACATCGTGACATAGACGTTACACGAAGTGACATAGTGATATAGACGTAACACGAAGTGACGTAGTGATATAGACGGAACATAAAGTCACATAGTGACATAGAGGTTACACAAAGTGACATAGTGATATAGACGTAACATGAAGTGACATAGTGATATAGACGTAACACGAATTGACGTAGTGATATAGACGTAACACGAAGTGACATAATGTCATAGACGTAACACGAAGTGATATAGTGTTTTAGACGTAACATGAAGTGACATAGTGACATAGACGTAACAGGAAGTGACATTGTGATATAGGCGTAACACGAAGTGACATAGTGATATAGACGTAACACGAAGTGACATAGTGACATAGACGTAACACGAAGTGACATAGTGACATAGACGTACCACGAAGTGACATAGTGATATAGAGGTAACACGAAGCGACATAGTGATTTAGACGTAACACCAAGTGACATAGTGACATAGACGTAAGACGAAGTGATATAGTGACATAGACATTACACGAAGTGACATAGTGATATAGACGTAACACGAAGTGACATAGTGATTTAGACGTAACACGAAGAGACGTATTGATATATACATTACACGAAGTGACATAGTGATATAGACGTAAGACGAAGTGATATAGTGACATAGACGTAACACGAAGTGACATAGTGATATAGACGTAACACGAAGAGACGTATTGATATATACATTACACGAAGTGACATAGTGTCATAGACGTAACACGAAGTGATATAGTGTCTTAGACGTAACACGAAGTGACAAAGTGATATAGACGTAACACGAAGTGATATAATGACATGGATGTAACACAAAGTGACATAGTCATATAGACGTAACACGAAGTGATATAGTGACAAAGACGTAACACGAAGTGACATCGTGACATAGACGTAACACGAAGTGACATAGTGATATAGACGTAACACGAAGTGACGTAGTGATATAGACGTAACATAAAGTCACATAGTGACATAGAGGTTACACAAAGTGACATAGTGATATAGACGTAACATGAAGTGACATAGTGATATAGACGTAACATGAATTGACGTAGTGATATAGACGTAACACGAAGTGACATAGTGTCATAGACGTAACACGAAGTGATATAGTGTTTTAGACGTAACACGAAGTGACATAGTGACATAGACGTAACACGAAGTGACATTGTGATATAGGCATAACACGAAGTGACATAGTGATATACACGTAACACGAAGTGACGTAGTGATATAGAGGTAACACAAAGTGACATAGTGATATAGACGTAGCACGAAGTGACGCAGTGATATAGACGTAACACGAAGTGACATAGTCATATAGACTGAACACGAAGTGACGTAGTCATATAGACGTAACACGAAGTGACATAGTGTCATGGACGTAAGACGAAATGATATAGTGTCCTAGACGTAACATGAAGTGACATAGTGATATAGACGTTACACGAAGTGACGTAGTGATATAGACGTTACACGAAGTGACATAGTGACAAAGACGTAAAACGAAGTGACAAAGTGTCATAGATGTAACACGAAGTGATATAGTGTCTTAGACATAACACGAAGTGAGATAGTGCCATAAACGTAACACGAAATAACATAGTGACATAGACGTAACACGAAGTGACAAAGTGATATAGACGTAACACGAAGTGACATAGTGATATAGACGTAACACGAAGTGACATAGTGATATAGACGTAACATAAAGTTACATAGTGACATAGAGGTTACGCAAAGTGACATAGTGATATAGACGTAACATGAAGTTACATAGTGATATAGACGTAACACGAATTGACGTAGTGATATAGACGTAACACGAAGTGACATAGTGACATAGACGTAACACGAATTGACATAGTGATATAGACGTAACATGAAGTGACATAGTGATATATACGTAACACGAAGTGACGTAGTGATATAGACGTAACACGAAGTGACATAGTGTCATAGACGTAACATGAAGTGATATAGTGTCTTAGACGTAACACGAAGTGACGTAGTGATATAGACTGAACACGAATTGACGTAGTGACATAGACGTAACACGAAGTGATATAGTGATATAGACATAACACGAAGTGACATAGTGATATAGACGTAACATGAAGTGATATAGTGACATAGACGTAACACGAAGTGACATAGTGATATAGACGTAACATGAAGTGACATAGTGATATAGAGAAAACACGAAGTGACATAGTGATATAGACGTAACACAAAGTGACATAGTGATATAGACGTAAGACGAAGTGATATAGTGTCTTAGACGTAACACGAAGTGACATAGTGATATAGACGTTACACGAAGTGACGTAGTGATATAGACGTAACACGAAGTGACATAGTGACATAGACGTAACATGAAGTGACATAGTGTCATAGATGTAACACGAAGCGATATAGTGTCTTAGACGTAACACGAAGTGACTTAGTGCCATAAACGTAACACGAAATAACATAGTGACATAGACGTAACACAAAGTGACATAGTGATATAGACGTAACACGAAGTGACATAGTGATATAGACGTAACACGAAGAGATATTGTGATATAGACGTAAAACGAAGTGACATAGTGACATAGACGTAAGACGAAGTGATATAGTGATAAAGACGTAACACGAAGTGATATAGTGACATAGATGTACCACGAAGTGAGATAGTGATATAGACGTAACACGAAGTGACATAGTGATATAGACGTAACACGAAGTGACATAGTGATATAGGCGTAACACGAAGTGACGTAGTGATATAGACGTAACACAAAGTGACATAGTGATATAGACGTAAGACGAAGTGATATAGTGTCTTAGACGTAACACGAAGTGGCATAGTGATATAGACGTAACACGAAGTGACACAGTGATATAGACGTAACAAGAAGTGATATAGTGACATAGATGTAACACGAAGTGATATAATGAGATAGACATAACACGAAGTGACATAGTGATATAGACGTAACACGAAGTGACATAGTGATATAGACGTTAGATGAAGTGACAAATTGAAATAGACGTTACATGAAGTGAGATAGTGATATAGACGTAACATGAAGTGACATAGTGAAATAGATGTTACACGAAGTGCCATATTTATATAGACGTAACACGAAGTGACATAGTGATATAGACGTAACACGAAGTGACGTAGTGATATAGACGTAACACGAAGTGACATAGTGTCTTAGACATAACATGAAGTGATATAGTGTCTTAGACATAACACGAAGTGATATAGTGACATAGACGTAACACGAAGTGACATAGTGATATAGACGTAACATGACGTGATATAGTGACATAGACGTAACACGAAGTGACATAGTGATATAGACGTAACATGAAGTGACATAGTGATATAGAGGTAACACGAAGTGACATAGTGATATAGACGTAACATGAAGTGACATAGTGACATAGACGTTACATGAAGTGACATAGTGATATAGACGTAACACGAAGTGACGTAGTGATATAGACGTAACACGAAGTGACATAGTGTCATAGACATAAGGCGAAGTGATATAGTGTCTTAGACGTAACACGAAGTGACATAGTGATATAGACGTTACACGAAGTGATGTAGTGATATAGACGTTACACGAAGTGACATAGTGACATAGACGTAACACGAAGTGACAAAGTGTCATAGATGTAACACGAAGTGATATAGTGTCTTAGACGTAACACGAAGTTACATAGTGCCATAAACATAACACGAAATAACATAGTGACATAGACGTAACACGAAGTGACAAAGTGATATAGACGTAACACGAAGTGGCATAGTGATATAGACGTAAGACGAAGTGATATAGTGACATAGACGTAACACGAAGTGACATAGTGATATAGACGTAACACGAAGTGACGTAGTGATATAGACGTAACACGAAGTGACGTAGTGATATAGACGTAACACGAAGTGACATAGTGTCTTAGATGTAACACGAAGTGACATAGTGATATAGACGTTACACGAAGTGACGTAGTGATATAGACGTAACACGAAGTGACATAGTGATATAGACGTAACACGAAGTGACATAGTGTCATAGATGTAACGCGAAGTGATATAGTGTCTTAGACGTAACCCAAAGTGACATAGTGCCAAAAACGTAACACGAAATAACATAGTGACATAGACGTAACACCAAGTGACAAAGTGATATAGACGTAACACGAAGTGACATAGTGAAATAGACGTAACACAAAGAGATATTGTGATATAGACGTAACACAAAGTGACATAGTGATAAAGACGTAACACGAAGTGACGAAGTGACATAGATGTAACACGAAGAGACATAGTGAAAAAGACGTAACACGAAGTGACATAGTGACATAGATGTAACATGAAGTGACATAGTGTCATAGAGGTAACACGAAGTGACATAGTGACATAGACGTAACATATTTTATAGTCTGTGTGTGAAAGTACATACATCTCCATACAGCTCTGAAGCCGGAAGATCCTATCGACCTATCTGTTGTAAATTCCACACGGTAGTAGGTGGACGACGGGACGGTGTAGCCATTGTGTGAACCAGACAGAGATACCAGCAGCTTGTTGGAGACATCGTACACCTGCAAGGGAGTAATTTGAATGGAGTCATCATTGACTTTGCTGGCATTCACTACCAACATCAAGGGACGGATAAAATTGTGGAGATGTTCTCTGAATAATAATTATATTGTCCATGTTTGAGATATTGAAATGCATATTTTGTTCTTAAAACTGAACAGGCATTTCATGCGGTATACATATAGTCACATCATACGGTGAAGTGAATGTTCTGTTTCGAGGACGATCAACCCCAGGGTTATTTCTATAGGGCAATGAAACTGTTTTAGTTTCAAAAAATTAGTTTTGTATGTATTCTATCACATAAACTATTTCATGCCGTGTGCCATCGAAGCTGATAAAATTGTATGTTCAGAGCATCCAAATTATACGTCACAATCATGAATGATTTTGGCAGTACATGTTTAGGAAGAAATCTACGCATATTGACAGATATTTGTGCAGCTGACCTGACTACAGTCTTTGCAGGGTAAATATGATAATGTTAACTACATCTATATCAGCTATTTGTCTATCGAATGACTGTCACTTCACATGCCGCATACACCTGTGAAGATTCGGGTTAGAACATGTCTTCAGCAAACCATGCTTGTCATAAAAGGCGACAATGCTTGTCGTTCGAAGCGACCAAAGAGATTCGGTGGTCAGGCTCGCTCATTTGGTTCATGCATGTCATCGCATCCCTTTTGCGTGGATCGATGTTCATGATATCAATCACTGGATTGTCTGGTCCGGACAGTGTACATTAGATTATCAAATATCAGAGTCATGAGAGAAATGTGTTCACCTTTGCTAATTCTTTACTTAGAATTGTCATGTCATAGTTACTACTTTAAACTGTCCGTTAAAGTATACTGTCCTCGCGTACATACCTGGAAACCAGAAATGCATTAAGTTATGACCAAAGATGGTAAAAGCAGGAATGATAAACACATTTAAAGAGTCATACGAACATATCAGTTGCGTGGGCCATTGCAAGTTTTAAATCGTCATGAACATATCATAAGCTGTACTTACCTTCACATAGTCATAATTGAACTCTGTGTTGAACTTTTCAAATTTAAGTCCGATCAGCTTACTGGGGGTAATTACATATGTGCAGGACAGATAGTTGGCATATGTGTAATGGTAGTTTGGGGATGTAATCGTTCCTGACTGTCCCCTGTAGGTCCCACCACAACCTGAAATAAAAGTCAGTGCCAACATATTAATTTTGATATACCATTGGATATGTTTTGCTGAAACAACGAACGACTTGCGAAGGCATCATAAAGCGGATACACTGTGTAATATTACACGTGAATGTAGGTCAAAAGATTATTGGATCAAGAAAAACATGGCGTCTGACTCAACTCCCCTGTTTGTGGTTTCTCAACAGGGTGGTGAATTCTCGCCTACATAGTTTGAAGCATGGAGCGGGTGCTGTCAATAACCCGTTATATTTCTTTACCCATCCACACAAACCCAAGACCCCATCCAGCCCCAGAATATCAACATTGTCGGTTCCTATGGACACTGATCTTCAAAGTTCTTCAAAGTTCACCTCACCTCACCTCACCTCATCTCACCTCACCTCACCTCACCTCACCTCACCTCACCTCACCTTTTACTAATGTGGGGCGGTCTGGTAGCCTAGCGTTCGCTCGTCACGCCGAAGACCCGGGTTCGATTCCCGACATGGGTACAATGTGTGAAACCTATTTCTGGTGTCCCCCGCCGTGATATTGCTGGAATATTCACTCAATTTTACTGATGGTTTATGAAATTTACATACATGTAGAATGAAAATAGAACCAACTATGATAGATTACCAAAGACTTTTCATACCACTTAATCCAACTCGAAACTAAATAAAAAAACATGTATATAATAATTTTGAAACATGTCATCGATGCACACGAAGTTAGCATTAGTTCAATGTGTTAAAATAATACAAACATAAAGCAATTAAAGAGAAAATAATTCACCTCTTGTTTGATGAATCCTACCGATCAGAACATTACACACTATCACACATGCCAACCAGTTCACCATCCTGTTTGTAAGATATCCAGGCTTCAGAAACACATTAAGCCACAATTTGCCATGCTGACTAGAGTGAAAGGCTCTGTCCGACGGGATATTTTATATGGTGTGTTGAGTGTGATCTCTGGTGAAAGTACACTTGCTAACTTCCTATAACTGTCAAGTTTCAAGTGAGCATGAAAACGAATGTGTATTGGGAGCAAAATACCAAGTAGTGTGTTGAACCCTTCACCATTCCAGTGACAATAATAATAATAATAATAATAATAATAATAATAATAATAATAATAATAATAATAAAGCCAGGATCACCCGAACCCTCTTTGCTGATTTTTTAAATTTTAATCTGTAAATAATAATATAATGAATTTAATGAAACTCTCGAACACATTTTGAGTGGATGCCCAGCTTTGGCACAGACACAGTATCTTAAGCGACATGATGGGGTGGCTCGATCATTTTATTACTGTCTTTGCCATGCTTGTGGTTTTGACACAGAGGTCCATCCATGGTACGACCCGGAACATGAAGAGGGCGTCATGGAATATGATAAATAAAAAAGTCCTTTTTAAGGACAGCCTCAGATATACAGCCTCAGATATATCCAAGCCAGCAAACCTGATCTTGTCCTTTTTGATAAATCCAATGAAATCATTTATATCATTCAATTTTCTGTCCCTTTTGCTAGTAATGTGATTGACAAGATTGAGGAAAAACATGGCAAAGATGCAGACCTCTCTTTCAAAATGTCATGCTCACATCCCAAGTACCAAGTTGTCCGACTCCCCATTGTTCTCAGTGCCTTAGGTTTGGTACCTCCCAATCTGTTGACTGACACCGGGAGAGTACCCGGGTTTGCTACCAGGAATACAGCCCATCTGACAATCTGGGTAATGCAGAAGGCTGTAGCGTTCGGGAGTCTTCACATTCTCCGAAAGGTACTGCGTGGGTTTTACCAGGCAGCGCTTTCTGGGCTGCGTGTTGAGGGGGCAAGGGCCCTGATGATGTGCCTAACCAGCCTGACTGTGCCAGGGTCACCCAAACCCTCTTTGATGCATTTTTTATTTTAATCTGAAAAATAATTATAATAATATTGATAATAATAATAACGTCACGACTCGAGGTGAAAACTATAGCATTGCACAGTTTTCTTAAATAAGCCAAGGATGTGGGACATACTCTCAATGTCAATGTTTGTTGATGGTTCTGAACTGCTGGATGGTACAGCAATGTGTGTCAACCAAGCGAAGTGCCATATGAAATTGGCCCAAACTCAGTTTTTCAAGAAGAAACTTTCTGAACGACCACTGCATCGAGTTTTGGTTTAGTGTGTTGAGCTGAGCAACCCTGCACAGTTTTCGCTAGGATGAGTGAGTGAGTGAGGTTTTACGCCGCCTTTAGCAATATTCCAGCAATATCATGGCGGGGGACACCAGAAAGGGGCTTCACACATGGTACACATGTTTGGAATGGAACCCGGGTCTTGGGTGTGACGAGCGACCGCTTTAACCACTAGGCTACCCGACCGCCCCTCGCTTGGATGAAGTCAGCTGGCCTGTAAAGTGAAACAAAAGGCTTTCTGTTTGCTGCTCAGGACTAGGCACTTCCCACTCGAAACCATCAATGTGTGATTTTGCATCAAAATGTAAATATGAAATGTAGTCTTCACAATGAATATAATGAGACTGTCTAACACATTGTCAGTGGCACAAACACAGCATCCTAAGCGACATGATGGATTGACAAGATTGAGGAAAAACATGGCAAGTATGCGGACCTCGCTTTGGAAATGTCAGGCTTGTATCCCAAGCACCATGTTGTCCGACTCCCAATTGTTCTCGGTGCTTTAGGTTTGAGGACGTCTCAATCTGTTGACTGACATTGGGGGAGTTCCCGCTTTTTTTACCATGAATACAGCCCTTCTGACAATCTGTGTGATGCAGTTTTGGGAAGTCTTCATAATGTTCGAAAAGTTCTGGGTTGGTTAGACTAGGCAGCGCTTCCTGGGAGGAGTCCTTCTCACTGCGAGTAGAAGGGGTAAGGACCCTGAGCTGATGATGAGCCTAACCAGCCTGACTGTGACACGATCGTCCAAACCCTCTTTGCTGCATTTTGTATTTTAATCTGTAAATACTAGTAATGACGTTGATGGCAGTGATGATGATTGAATCCACGATCATAAGGATCTAGCACACTTATGGGCCACGCAACTCCTTAATTGCGTAAGTTACCTATAAAAGTGGCATTAAACGGTTACTTTTGACTGAGAGCTCGGTATCTGCTGTGGTATTGTTGTAAAAGGTTGCAAGATCGTACACTTTTCTACCGTCCACTGTGATTGGATGCAAACAACAATTTTCAGATCAGTGGGTTGTAGTCTTCTTCACTTGACAAATGGCTTCAGCACATTCCGCGAAGCGACTGTGACATTTAGAAACACGCCATGCTTATTATTTAGACGACATACATAACTGTACACAATGAATTAAATAACAGCTATGACATTGTGACAACTCGAGAACTTCAAACGTCCGACTCCACTGGTCAGTTCATTGACAATGAAGTGTGTACATCCGTAGATGTACAAGTATTTCAAGTGCTGAAAACGCAGAGCGATCAGAGAGGAGAAAGCTAATGAGGCTGACATTGCCTTATATCCGTCTTTGCATTGTACCATGCTTTCTGTGATGATAATTAAATAGTATTTTTGACACGAAACATAACGGATTACTTGTGGGCACTGCCTACGATTAGTTATTTCTGAGCTGTGCCAAATGAATGTAAGGTGTTCTTGAAACAATGGAAGTTTCAACCTTAGCAGGGGGCGACTTTAAATTGATTTAGAAAGACGCCGATGTACTTTTGACCTTAATTTGTGTAAACCTCCTGTCACTCTGTGCGAGGTTCGCTTTCAAGATCATGTTATTATGTTGCTGGTACCGTTGCAAAACTGAAAGAATAAAAGCTATGTTGAAATGTTATGCAAATATTTAGAATGTGAAATGCTTTCTTTTCAAATCAACTGTAATCTTGTGTGCGGGTGAGAGTGTTGAGCAAATACTTATCACATGCATAAGTCCGTCGACACATCACATCACTTTCCGTTGAGTGTGGGTATTAAATGTACTTTCATGTTTAATGTCCAGCTTCCCCTATTGACTTGTGCTATTATCTACAGGATTCAAGATTGGACTTTATCACATCCGCTGAGTCAATCAGAGTGGTTAACACGGATGTATTGCCTCATAGTATTACATTGATACAAACACATTATCTACTCTGCTCACAAAGGACCTCAGGGCTTCATAGGGAAGTGTGTTTCACTTAATGTTTGTTGACAAAACCTATAATATATTCCTCCTTTAAACAAAAATCTTCAACATGCAGCTCATTGCAAAATAATTGACCAATCACGATGTTGAAATGTATTTATTTGGTTTCATATGGAAATGCAAGAGCATGTTGTTCTTATAAGCGTCTCACTTGGAAACGTTGAACGTTTCACAACTCTTCATATAACGTTTTCAAGGAAAAAGATTCCATCTGAATGTAGTTTCTGGGGGATGGGGTTGGCAACTCAAGGCAATCATTGTGAATCTGCCAATATATCCAGATTAATTTGTGAGCGGGTATTACAGACCCTGGTATATCAGTAAGGCTGGGAAAAAGTCAATTGGCTTATTGGTTTAGTTTGCTATAATCGCTGCGTGCTGTATGTTTCTCTTCTTTCTTAGTATGCTGTCTAAACAAAGGACAGATGGGATATGGCTGTTTAATCATGTTTGGGTCTCATGCTAATGTAAATATTATTCTGGGCAAAGCACTTTTCAAGACGTCGTTATAACTCGAACTTGATTTTGATTGAGGTGCAGAGTTGCGTGAAGTGTGCAAAGATATTCAAGTTGTCGCAAATCTGAAAACCAGAGTCAATCCGATCCTTTACAATCATTGGTTTATAGTTGTTCAGGGCACACATCAATTGTTATATTTTGTAGTGCACCCTGGAACTTCCGCGATATAGCTGGTCTTCAAAAACCAATCCTTCTCTTAAGAGGCAACTGTGGTGGTTTTAGGAGACGAAAATGTTGTCATAAGAGGCGACAATAGTTGTTGTAAGAGGCGAATATGTTTGTCGTAAGTAGCGACTGTGCGTGCCGTAAGTGTGACTGTGCTTGTCTAAAGAAGCGACTATGCTTGTCGTAAGTGGCGACTATGCTGGACGTAATAGGTGCCTATGTTTGGCGTAAGTGGTGACTAACGGGAACGGGAGGTCAGGCTCACTGACTTGGTTGATGCATGCCATCGTATCCCAATTGAGTAGATCGATGCTTATGTTGTCAATCACTTGATTGTCTGGACCAGATTTGATAATTTACGTACCGCCGTCGTGTAGCTGGACTATTGTTGCGAGCGGCCCGAACTGCAAACTGAGGAATTATAACATTCCTCAACCAATTACTCAACCCAATTGTTGCCATATGCATACATCGATAGCATACAATGTTATTTCTATTTCCGATTACCACCAAGCACATACCAATGAATGGCTACACGAAACATAATTTGCATGTTTTAATGTAAAGAAACATCCTCCCCTCTCTTAAACATCCTCCCGTCTTAAATATCGATATCCGAGCGATCAAAAACTTAGACTCTATCTCTGTGATACAACACTGCGCATGGCCGTTGTGATTTCAACACTGTTATATCTATTGTCGCATAAGCAATCTGCCTGACATCAAGGGCATAATACAATGTGTCTCAGAGGGTAACTTAAACCCATAAATTTGTGTGAGTTTGGGAAAATACATTTATACGATACAAGGTATTGAGCAAAAATGTTGTGGAGAGAACACTTGGTGATTGTAGTCATCTCAATAAGTGGTACATAGGAAAAGGTCAGCTACCATCAATAACGCGTATGTCCCCCGTTTGAATCGATAGTGGCCTGACATCTCCTGCCCATGGAAGAGACGAGTATGGGAATCACATTCGGGGAATGGTAAACCACTCGGCCTGCAACGCAAAAGTCAACTGCTGCAACGTCTGGGGATGTGGTTGACGTCGGCGTAGCA